CATTTTCGTGTTTAAGCTCCCTTTTCATTTAGAAATTGTTAACTTTTTCCCTTTTGCTGATGTTAGTGCAATTTTAGCCAGAATTTTGCAAAGTTTCAAATATGTGGTGGGTAGATATGTGAGTGGGTTTCGTTTCGCTGCTACGTTAATTGGCTACACAATGTTAGTGTGCGTGAAACCAAAGCAGCTATTAAAGCAAATGATTGGCGAAAGTAAATGTTGGAGATAAATGATTTCGGTTGGTGTGATTAAACCATAGAAACTTGGAAGATGGTGGTCTTTTTTGGGCTTTTAAAACAAATTCTTATCTTTATATCAAACATGCACATAAACACAATGTCTAATAATGTGGTCTTTAAGATCAAGAATGTTATGATAATAAAGCAACACTCACTTAAAGCAACATTCAAAGTAATATAATGTTCAAGAGAATTTTATAATTTTTTAAATAATTTGTGGATAGATTTTTTTTTTTTTCGCCTTCAAGCATACTATGAAGAAGTTCGTCAAGCAGGGCTTGTCGAACACGACGGAACTATTAATGCTGATATTTTAAGAGTTATTTGAGGCGCTTCTAATTATTTCAAATATTTATTTCTGTTTCTTGTTTTGTTAAATTATTGCAGTCCTCCCTCAGGTTCTTTTTGATGTGTGTGCTCCAAATTGCTTAACGATAATAAAAGCATTAACGATTTCTAGCTACATTGGCAGCACGTAGTGTAACTATAGTGGACAGATGGACTACTCTCTTTTTAAATATGTCTCCAAAGGAGCGAAGGAGAGCCACGGTTGAATTTCCCTAAACGAAGGATACTCTACTATAGCGGGACACACACCGCTATTAACCGCTATGCCCCACTATATGGCTCAGTACCGTTATCCATATTATGATATTTCAAAATAAGACCCTGTTCACGGGAAGTGGTCGAAGAAGCGTCTTAATCCAAACCATATTTAATAGCGTTCGTGGTAAGGCCGAAAATATATCGGTATACCAAATTTCATCAAACTATCTCAAGAATTGAAACAACGCTGGCAGACAGACAAACGGTTAAACGGACAGATAATCTTAGATCTGATGCTGAATCACTTTCTAAATCGATCGGTAGAGAAAAAGGTAGACCTACCTTTAGTCCTCCTGCGTGTAGAATAGATCCGCTTAAACTTGGTGTAGGGTGTAATAAATTAATATCGACTGGTGTACTGCTAATATTTATATAATAAGTACTGCTTAATATTTATGATACATCCTTTTGGCATAACTGCTTAGGTAAAGAATTCCAAGCTTCCCTAATATCTTTCAAAGGTTTATCCATTACCTCGCCGAAATCTCTTAAATTTGCAATGGCACTAAAATCGGGACTTTAATGGGGGCTTTATGCTTATGAAATCCAACAATCATTTATTTTGTTTTCCCGAGCACTTTACGTACTTACTTCGTATAAAAGCCCTGATTACTGGCAAGGAATCAAAGGCATATGACGCTCTACATTTTTCCGCCGAAATGTCATCGTTAGCAGTATGAACTCTGACGGATGAAGTAAAGGTTTTTTTCTATTCATTCGGCTAAGAAATTAGATATCATCTGTCGAACGACTTCTTATCGGTCTACGTGACAGTGCTAGTGGAAAGTTTCGTGTCTCTAAAGAGTTTAACTAGGACACGTTTATTGTCGCTCACTCAATCACTTTGGCGAAGCAAGCAGTAGATTTTATTGGTTTCAGTTCGAGTATTGTATTTTTATTTAAGTGCATGAGATATTCTCCTCAAAAATCTAATGACATTACAAGCAATTTCGCTCAATATCACAATCACTTCAACACTGCAGCCATTTCAACTGCCTTTTTTCCGTCCTGGCGCATGTTAATAAAAGCTTTGGTATTTTTAGATACGCTTTTAGCACAACTTACGAACCGAACTAATAGAATTAATTGAACACACAAAACAAACAAAGCTGAAGAGTAGTTTGTTTAAAAATTGCGTTTATATTTTTATTTTTTTTTTTGTTTAATGCTATTTTTACGATCAATTCTAGCGCGTACTTTATACGCAGGAGAGCAAAGCAAAAAAAAAACAAAAAAGTTAAAGCTTAATATAATTTCTAGAGAGATATTTTCTCTACGGTATGACAAAGAAACGTTGCAAACGATTAAATTAAATTAAAAAGTTAGACAATTGCTATCAAAGTTCTGCTTTAAACTTGGGTTATTTATATGTCTATGCCTGCATATCAGTTCATCCACATATTAAAATTAAAACTCCTGTAGAATGAAGTTATTATTTAATTATTATTATTACTATTATACTATATTATATAAGATATTTTCTCTACGGTATGACAAGAAAGTCTTGCTAAAATAATTATAAAACTTTTGGTTTAAATTTGTGCTAATTATACGTCTATCCGTGCATATCAGTTCGCCTACATAGTAAAATTAAAATTCCTGTAGAATAAACAAACACTTGAGTTAATAGGAAAGATGCTTCTATTATGCCCATCATCGAAAGATGACGGGTATATTTAGTTTGGGAAAATGTCTGCCCCAGA